CAGAGCAGAGCCTGGCTCCTTCCTCCTGACACTGCCCTTTACAAATTTATAAACATGAATGAGGTCACCCCTCAGTCTCCTCTGCTCCAAGCTCAAGAGCCCCAACTCCCTCAGCCGCTCCTCAGCAGGAGATGCTCCACTCCCTCCAGCATCTTGGTGGCCCTGCTGGACTCTTTCAAGCAGTTCCTGTCCTTCTTGAACTGAGGGCCCAGCACTGGACACAACATTGCAGCTGTGGTCTGAGCAGGGCAGAGTAGAGGGACAGGAGAACCAGTCTGCCCTACAACCACCCCTTCTCATCCACCCCAGGATGGCGTTGGCCTTCTTGGCTCAAGGGCACATTGCTGGCTCATGGTCATCCTGCTGGCCACCAACACCCCAGGTCCTTTCCAGCCACTCGTCCCCAAGCCTGTAGCGTCCATGGGGTTATTGCAACCGAAGTGGAGGACCTGGCGCTTGGCCTTGTTGAAGCTCATCCAGTTGGCCTCAGCCCATGGATTCAGCCTGTCCAGGTCCCTCTGCAGAGCCTTCCTACCCTCAGGCAGATCAACACTCCCTCCCAACTCAGTGTCATCTGCAAACTTGCTGAGGGAGCACTCAATCCCCTCATCCAGAGCATTGATAAAGATGTTAAACAGGACTGGCCCCAAAACTGAGCCCTGGGGAACACCCCTTGTGACTGGGCACAACTGGGTTTAGCTCCATTCACCACAACTCTCTGTGCTCCCATCCAGGCAGTTTTTGACCCTTGATGTTATATTACAATGACCACACTTCTGTTGTAATGAATGATGTGAAAACAGATTTCATCATTTCGTGTAATATCATCAGGTGCATTTCCATGGCAAGAGTTGGTTGTAGACTGGAACTGTCCTGCATTACAGGAAAGCTTAAATTATGAGATGCAACTTCTGTGTTTAACAGCCTGTGTTCTGTGTGATTTATAGAATAAATGTGGTGTGTGCATCAGCCAGGCATGCACAAATCGATCAATTAAAAGAAGGGGAGATATTTTGATTATTTTAAACTGTCAAATGTGTTTTCATTATCAAGACACTAGAAAGCTCAGGGTATTGATTATGAGCTGTGCACACAGCAATCTCTGGGTCAGTGATCCGAATCTGATTTAGGGATTTAGTCAAGAAAATCCTTTCTCTAATAGCTCGAGTGAATTGGTGATATCCTTTAGTTTAATGAATAACGGGTGTAAAGTTTTGTTCTTCATTTTTGACATGTTATGAACGCTGCCAGCCCAGAGGGAACAGTTGGCAGTCTCATTAGACCCTAAGAGCCCTGGGCATGGTTGAGGCACCTGGCCTAGACATCGCACAGGCATTGATCTTGTCCCAAGCATTTACAACCTTGCCCCCAAAACCAATAGATGCCGAAAGACCAGATGAAGAAATTAAATACAAACACAATTAAAACCAGGGCTGAATTGTCAAGGAAATCTTCCTGTCAGGTGAAGAAGGAAGACATGAAATAGTCATTCAATATGTATTTTGGAAATGCTAGCGACTGAAGTACAAACATCATAAGCATGAGGAGTTTTATTCTCTGCCTTACTCCCCTCCTAATAAAACTTAACTATTTATTTGTTGCTTTTTTCCCTGCAAAAAACCCTTGGAGTTGAACAACTGTATTCATTTAGATTTTGTTTTCCTGCTGGTTTTCAGTGTTCTCTCTGTCTTCTTTTAGGAAATTGGAGATCTTTTACAGTCCCGTGGCCACGAGTGGGGAGTAACTACAGGCAGAAAGCGCCGCTGTGGCTGGTTAGATCTTGTCATTTTGAAATATGCTCATATGATCAACGGATTCACTGCGTAAGCATCACAGATTTTGCGCTACATTGGGAAGTGATAATTTTGTGCTTCGCAGAATAAATATGTAGGTAACGTTAATATAAGTCCAGTAAAGTGTTACATTTTAAGCGATAAAATAATTCACAGTGGGCAACTGAGAATTGTCTTAATGCTAATAATAATAATAATAATCATCATCTAATTCCTTTGACTCTTTTTGTTTTCATGTCAAGTGATTTTACAGCATCCTAGCAGTGATTTTTTTCGTGTATGTTTTCACTTTGCTTACGTCAGATGGCCCATGGAGATTGGATCTATCACTTTTCTAACAATTTGCTCTAGTGTTCTTGGTCCAGTGCTTCCATGCTGCCTTATGTCGTGATCTCAAACCCGCTGGTTTTGAGCTTTGGTTGTCTCTAGTGGATCACACTTGTAGGACCAAATCTGCATCTTTCAGAACCACTGCCTCTTTAAGTGAAATGAGTGGGGTGGCACAAAGTAAACAGCAACTGGCACAGCTGTCCTTCCAGTTCCAACACGTCCATTTATTTACAAAGGTGTAGTCTAATAATGCTTTAAATGCTGCTTTTAATGGGCTGTTTTATTTTCATTGGGGCTCAGTGACTTTCCTGGTTGATGAAATACTTTATAATTCAAAATATATGTTAAATTGGCATTTTAAAGGAAAAGTGGCTGTTTCAAGGAGCTGTTCAAGACCATAATGCCATCAAGCTAGCTGATGTCTAATGCTAAAATGCCAGTAACTATCACAGGCCACTAATTTATAACTAATTAGCAATCTGTTTTCAGAAAAAGTTGCAGAAGTTTCATTAGAGTTTTAGTGCTATAAGGTGTAGACTCACTCGTGCATTCAGGCAGGCTTGTTCATGTATGTGAACACATGAGCCGGGGCATTTTAATGTCTTACAAACTGAGATTTAACTTAATATTGTTCATGCTACTGGTGTTACAAAGGAACTTTGTTCATGAATTGATCAGGAAGGCTTAAAAAATATCTTTTTTTCCTTGGATTTATGTTTTGCTTTAACTTACACAGCTCTTGTTTGTGTGGTAATAGCGTTTGGAAGGCGTTATGTGCCCTTCGGTTTTAATTCTGTAAAGTTACTGCACTTCTGTCAACCAAACTGTGTCATCTCTGGTAGCTGTGACCGTTAAAAACCAGGAGGAGATAAACACTTCAAAAAGTTGAAGAACTGGCTCTGTGCTGCTTCTTTCCCAGAAGGTCTTTTTGTTCAACCCTTGCGTTCGTTGTATGCTTATTGAGCACCTGGACTGCTATGCACATAACTTGTCTAAATCCTTGGCTGCTCGTGTTACTTCCGAGTGAGGTCTGGCGTGTTGTTTCTAGGGAATTTGACTAGTTTAAAAATGCAGTTTTACTCTGATCAGTGACTACTGTGATGTCTTCTTGACGTTCCATTTTAGTGCTCTAGTGTTTGCATTCAAAAGATGAAAAGGTTTCGTTAAACCGACAACCCTGGTAGCACAGCCCCAGCACTGAAAGTCAGGCTGGGAACTTTCCCACTGAACTGTGTATGTGATTTTAGTGGCCTGATTGTGCCTGTGAACTCTCTTTTAAAAGTGTAATTTAGTAAATAAGTCTTGTTATAGTTGTTGTGAATTAGTAGGAATAACAGAAATAATGGCTCTCATACAAACCAAGTCCAGTGAGTGCCACTTCACACTGTGTGTCTTTATAACTCAGTTCTGTATTCCCAGAGGCATGGATTCAGTTAACAGTGGTCACAGTTTGATATGTTTGTATACTTCTGCTCGCTGGGTTGCTTGAGCTGGATTTGTGAGTGCCAAACTAGAAAGGATAAATAAAAGACAGGTGGAAAGTATTGAAGAGGAGATCCATCATGTGTGTCACTCTAACCAGTGTTTTTCTGTACAGTTTGGCATTAACAAAACTGGATATCCTTGATGTCCTTGATGAGATTAAAATCGGCGTTGCTTACAAATTGGGTGGAAAAAGAATTCCGTATTTTCCAGGTACGTTGTTAAAGATCTGCGTTCATTTTTCTCTTCTGTGCCTGTCGGCAAAGACTGCTGTTTAAAATCAGGCTTGATTCGTTTTTTGCTACACCTTCTGTAGAAATTGGCAGAACTGTGATACCGGTGTAAAGGCTGCCGTGCCAGTGCCTCGGCGTTGTCCACTCACTTTGCATCCATCTACGGATGATGCTCAGGGCAGATGAAATCCTGGGCCTCTATCCTTGTCCCGTTAGATTTTTTTTTAACTGGCAACACTAGGGATCTTAAAGTCAGCAAGACTCGAGTGAGTGACTGTGTATCATTGGCAATAGCCTTTAATGAGGTAAAGTGAAAATCAAAGCAATGTTTAAGTTGTGCAAAAATGGGACTGATACAAGCAGGATGAAACTGCTTGTGGGCTACCATTGTGTAACTAACAGCAACGATGTTGTGGTTAATAAAAGTATATATTGCCTCTCTACGGTTCATGTTAAAACTTTTCAGATGTAATAATACGTGATTTTCTTACATTAGTGATATTTTCAAGATATCTGTAACGGTCTGTGCCCAGAGGAGGGGTTTGCTCTGTTGAGATGGGGGGTTCTTGGAGGCACAGGGGGGGTTGGCAGCAGCAGCTTTTCCACCACGGGTGGCAGTTCCTGGCTGTGGACACAGTGAGAATTCCAGTGAGGGAAAGCTTGCAGACATCTATGTTGTTAGCAAGCCTGATTTAACCCTGTTTCATAAAGATAAAAACATTGGAGACAGTAGTGCCTTGTCTACAGGAGGACTTCTGTTCTCTCATGTGCAAATCTAACCCAAAAAGTGGAGCTACTGTAAACTTCAAATAGTTTGTTTCCTCAACATTAGTACTTTGGCAACGTAGAGTGCACCCTACAGTTTTCAGAAGAGGAAACTGGGTTCCTTGATTCTCTTCCTAAGTAAAATGATGTAATCTAAATTAGGAATGAATGAATGAACTGAGCAGTAGAGATACTGTTTTTTCATATATCGTATTTTAAATGTTGACAGAAGACTTTGTTAATCAAGCACCATAGCTGTGCTCTTTTAAGTTGTAGCACCTACATTCAAGTGTGATAAAAATCATTCCCCTGCAGCCAATCAGGAGATCCTACAGAAGGTGGAAGTAGAGTATGAAACAATGCCTGGCTGGAAGACTGACACAACCGGTGCACGAAAATGGGAGGACCTCCCACCCAAGGCCCAGAATTACATCCGATGTGTGGAGAACCACGTTGGAGTGCCAGGTAACTCTTTCTGTAGATGTGCATAGGAGGATGCCTCAGTGGACAGGAACTGCTCTATAAAAGCGCTCGATTTAGTCATCGAGTGGCTTGATTTGGGCAGGAGGCAGTGGAAGTAGCTGTGTTTGGGCTGCTGGTGCTAAACGACAGCTTGCCAAGCAGCAGCGAGGGGTTGTGTTCTGTGGGCAGATCTGCAGTGTTGCAGAGAGCTCCAAGCCACAGCTGTTGAGGGTTTAACCCAAGGAGAGATGAGCGTGTTTCGTTCTTGACAAACTGCCTCCTTCTGCGAGTGAAAGCTCAGGGATCTGCGCATCGTGCCTCAGTGGGGCGTTAGTCTAATGTCCTCATCTGTTCCCCTCGCTTTACTTCCCGCGCTGCATCCCTGTTTGAACGTCATTTGACTTCTTTTTTCCCCTCTCTTCCATACTTACCTGTACGAGGACGTGTGTTGCATAATGATTGTTTAGCCCAATTCTGCCACTTTAGAAAACTGAGAATCTGAACATGATTGATCTCCAAGTTAAGCCATCCAGGTTGTTTTTTTGAATCTAAGTGCTAGGACTCTAAAGGTGCCGAGAGCTGGGTACGGCAGGAATGGTGAAGTTTGGAAAGAAATTTCCACAGTGACAAACTTGGAAAGCTCGTGTGTGTGCTTTTGTTCTCCATAAAGCACCTCAAAGGTTACGGGAAGGGTGAGGTAGTTGCAACTGTGGCAATCGTGGTATTGTTCATGGATTAGGAAGCATCTGGTAGCAGAGCCTGAAACTTGGTGGATGTCCTGTCGTGGATATGGATGTGGGTGATGGGATATGTAAATAAAGCTCCCCTTATTTTATTTCTGTGGTTCTCAGTGTGAAGATGGGCTGCCTTGGTGGGTTTGATGGCTAAAGGAGACCTACCTGCAGTCAGTTCTGTATTATCCAGGGGCAGTAACAACTGTAGTGGGACAGTTATGTTACGGTACCTGGGGTGACTGCTCACACTGGATACAGTTTTTGATTGCAGCCTTACATTTCACAGTATTGTAGCGTGTGTGCATCACTGCTCCTGGTCCACATCAAGAAAACTTCAGTCTGGCAGAGCTCTCGCTTCCTCTCTGCAGGGATTTAGCTCGTAACCCTCTCGCTCAGCACAACGGCAGTTAAACCTGCAACAAATGAGCTTGACCTTCTGCCAGGCCTTCCATCTGCAACGCTTTGTATTCACGGTATAATTATTTCATGCTTTCACATGTCAGTGTGCTGCACTTCTAGTCTGGTGATGCAGCAGGGGTAAAGTGATTCTTGACAGTGTGAGCGTTGTGTTTCAGCAGAGACTTCGCCAGTTTGTGGTGAAGCTCGATAAAAGGGCAAATTATTACAATTCATTGACTGAATGTTTACTCTCAGTAATTGCTCTAATAGATGTGTTTTCCTCCTTAGTTAAATGGGTCGGAGTTGGAAAATCAAGAGAGTCGATGATCCAGCTGTTCTGAACAAATGAAGAACTTCAGCGACGAGAAGCACAACTGGTCCTTACTGTTTCCTCTTTAAATGGAGATGCTGTTTAAAACCCACATGTTCTGCTAGGAGTTGAATAGAAACAAAAACACTTATTCTATATTGTAACGTTTTATTTATCTTTAAATTCTCAATAAATTCAGTGGAAAATCTCCTTGGTGACCATCATAAAAAAAAAAATATCAAAAAAGTATTCTTACCAAAATAAGGAAAAATTATTTTTGTTTTAAATTTGAACCATGTTATTATTTGAAAGTATTTTACACCCATACAGGGTCATTTCTTCTTGCTGAAACCAGTGTTAAGCCTTTTCCAGTAGTTACTGGGTAACTTTAGAATTGTGAAGCTTGGATTTGTTCTTCAACTTCAAATGTTAAAATATCTCTGTATTTGGGTTGGCAGTAACAAGACAGATACCGTGTACTTAGATCAGTTGGATCACACAGATTGTCAGTGTCTAAAGCTGGGTAGGTAACTTTACTGCGCAAAGCAAACATAATTAGCTATAGTTTTGATATAATTCGTTTTAATAGCCCACTAAAATGAAGGGAGAGCGGCTGAAGTATTTTTATCACAGAGCCTATTCTAGTACCTGATGTGACATCTGCATTGGGGCCAAGCTGGAGAAAGTTGACCTGTCTAGCAATTCTCTCAAATATCCTGTGCACTGACAGGTGATCCCTGTGCAGACTGTCGGGTATGCGGTAGGGAAGGAGTGAGTGAAGGTGGAAGGAAGAGTCCTCGGGGCACAAAACACGTGGGGAGTCTCGGTGAACCTGAGCCATTTCCTCCTGCTGATGCAGTGGCTGTAATTTCCAGAGTTTTACTGTAGTTTATCTGGTGAGGAACGTGGGACTTGCAGCTCTGCAAGGCACGCTCGCTTCCACAGCTCCTAGGTTTCCAAGAATAAGCTAATGCATGACTTCACGATGACTGCTGCAGTATTTACACCCCTCACGCGTTTTGACCTTCCTCAGCAAAATGCAACGCCTATTTATAGAAGGGGATGACATGTGGCAGCCAGGGATGGGACACGCAGAACCCATGGAGAGGTCCCAGAATCTTCAAGAATACACTTGGATTTCTTTGTGGATCTCCTCATTTATTATGGCTGTACTTCAAGAGCTCTCAAAAAAAGCCCTACCTCTTGTAGAGGAAAAAGAAGAAATACACTGGAAACAGAGTAATTCCCTAACTGCAGAATTTTCCAAGTAAATGTTCCTTTTCTATACATGTCTCCGAGAGCTATGGCGATATTTTTGTATCGTTCCCAGGGGCTGTGGGAATGGCATCACAACCCCAGTAATGCCGTTATGCGGTGTGTGAAGGTATCCCCTTTCTGAGATGGTAACTCCAAGGATACGGTGATGTTCTTTGCGTCAGAGGTAGGGAAGAAGAAAAGCTTGTGTGGAGTGTCTTGCGTCACACTCGTCCCCTTTGTCTTTTCTCACTCAGTATTAAACAGCGGTTAATGTTCAAAACCATCTGGGTCAAGAAGCAGTTACAAAAGTACTGGTACAAGCACTAAATGTAACTGTTGATGGGTGCGTTGCTGCTCGTAGGGCAGAATTCTTACACCCTCCGGCTGCAGTGCTCTCTCTCTTCACGCCCTGGTTCATCACAGGCTGTGGCTTTATGCCACAATTCAATACCTTCTATCTCCTCAATAAAAAAATCTTTAATTCAGCTAAAACTTCTTTGTCAGTCTTTGACAAGTCGTTTAATCTCCTTGTTTTGCAATCTGTAAAGTGCCAATCAGGAATTCTGCCTCACCTCTTTTGAACTGTTTTCTGGAGGTCTGTGGGTCAAGCCCTGCAGTCCTTGCTTTGACATTGGTGAGGAAGCTCTCCTTGTTGAATTCATGGGTGTTCTAATGAAAGAGCAAAGAAATTTCTGACCTTATTTAATGTTTGCAAAGCACTTCTGAAAGGTGCTTGGTAAGTGCTAAGTATTACGAGCACTGTGAAAGGTGCATAATTTCTAAGAGGTTATTTAAGCATAAAGATGCTAGGAGATGCAGTAATTAAGTGTTGTTTTCAAGTGGCCTAACCTTGTGACATTTGCCTACAGGTGGTCAGACCTCTTCCTTTTCTTGGCCTCATCTCAGTCAGTGCATTTGTGTTAGGAGGTTGCCGCTGTATCGAAGCTTTAGTTGATTTATAGGCAAAGTCCACAATGACTAACAAGCCACTTGGGGTGATGAACAACTGGATGAACTTAACTCTCAATGAAGTATTTGGCACAGTGAAAAAGTTAATTTTTATGGTTTGATTTTCACAGGATTACTTTCTCTTGTCCACCTCACTTTTTAGTTCCTGTTAAGTCATTTCTCCATGGAGTCTCCATTCGATCCATGTTGCCTGACTCTGCATTCAAGGATCCATCAAAAACCCAGTGATGTTGCCAGTGGGCACGATAGAATAGGCAATTATCCCATTACTCACTCTATTACTATAAAAATCATATGCACTTCATTTCATTTCATTTCCTGGCATGGATTTTTTTTAAAATGAAAGTTCTACTGCATTTCCTCTGTGTTGTCATTGAGTTACATGTGAATAAGTTCAGGCTTCCGTCAAAAAAGCTCTTTAACTTGAGTGACACAATGCTTAATAAGACCATTTTGATGTACAATGGCTTTCAGTTTGGCTGTTTCCCCTCTGCAGTATTTCGTATTGTTTGGAATTTTATTTTAATCGCCACCACTGTGATGAATTTAAGTTCTTCTTTCTCCCCAGCCAAATGCAATAATAATGACTAAAACTGGTTGATGCATCATCCTGTTCTATATCTGGGTGGAAGAATAAGGGTGAACATCTAAAATGGTGTAATTTGTGATAAAGATGATGGGTTTTTTTGAAAGTAGCAGTTACTGATTCACTCGTTAATAGCACGTTAATATATTTGACGTATTTTCTCACTTACCCTTACAGTACGACCTTCCTAGTCAGGTGGATGTTTCCTGACACGTGCACTATAGGATTTGGAAGCTTTTGTATTTTTTTCATTTGACTATATATGGTCTTACAGTTCTGGCTTGATGCACTTTATAAAAGGAAAGAAAATGAAGCATTTCCATAGTAACGTGCAAACCATACTTAAACCTTGTGCAGATTTTTTTTTCAGATGAATTTTGGATCCACACCTGTTTATTTTGTCCTGAAAGATGTATTAAAACCAATTTAAAGTAACAGTGATTGGTCTCTATTTCTCTCTCTTTCTCTCTCTCTTTTTTTTCCCCTTTTATTTTTTTTTAAACACAATATACTTCATACAAAAACCTGGTTCAATATTTCATGGATTTAAAAAAAATATCTAGTAGCATTATTGAACAAATTGGTATTTTCTTTCTACGGTTGCTCAGTGCTTGGCCTTTTTTTTACATGCTCTCTAAACTTTCACACACTTTCCTGTTTACAAACTGGGCAGGGATCTACTTTTACCACCGGGGATTCATGGGCAGTCAGCTTTAGTTACATCACCTGAGTGAACAATGATTTTATGGAGAAAAAAACCCATTTGCTAATTGGTGCAAAAAGGTTCTTGCCATACCAGCTCTGAGTGACAGACATGAACTCCATGCAGCTCTTTATCGACAGCACTGGGCTAGAAAGGAAAGGTAGATACTGGCTCAGATAACTATTATCACCTCTAAAATGTGGAAGAGCTTTGGACGAATATTGTTAGGGCTTTCAGAAGCCTTTACAGACATTGTTCTTTTTCTCATCCATTTTAGAAGTCTGGAACAGTGGGTGAGATGACAGCAGGTCAGTACACACTGCAGGGCAGTGTCTGAGAGCTGTATGAGAACTGCTCTGCCAATTAACTGATGTTAATTTGGATTTGGACAGGCTGAACCGATGGGC